TGGAGTTTGATCCCGCGGTATGGTTTGTTTGCAATCGTGTCATTACGATTTCGTGAGTCATTATGTATATATATATATATATATATATATATATTCAAACAGCTCCGGGGAGAACCTTGAGTTTTCCGTGAGGTACATTTATTGTCTTCTCTGAGGATGAGGGTCCCCAGTCCAGCTATAGAGGTGGTACTTCCCTATATATTTTTTAAATATATATATATATATATATATATATATATATATATATATATATATATATATATATATATATATATATATATATATACATATATTTAGCCTTGCCAGTAACTCATGTGTAACTTGATAATGACCACTGTGTGGGAGAAACTCTGTCAACAAAAGTATCGCATTATACTGCATGTTTCCTTGCCAATACCTAGAGCGCCACAAGGGACATTAAATTAGTTGGTAGGAAGGCCTAATATACGCAAACATGTCAAGTGCACACACACGCAAAGAAAGAAACACTAAAATATTAGGCTTACCCGCAACAAAGCAAAGAGTTGAGATGCCTTGCAATAGACCTGCTGGACCTTTTTCAATGAATTCGCCCATCAATGTTCTCACTATCAACAACTCTGCCGCTAAAGAACTCTCTCACACTGTTTATAACTGGAGCAATATAACTTAAATTAATCGAATTCCTGAGGGACGGGGAGTTCTAACACAATATTTAGTGAGGACTCAAACTTACTTTCAGTTAATTATCTTTTGATCGTTTCTCGGCCAGAAGTAATTTTGTGCGAGACCAAATACAAAAACGCAGCTAGAACCTTAATAGTGGTACTGGAGGTGCTGGAGGTGTTGGAGGTGGTGTTGGCAGGGGTGATGTTGGAGGTTGTGGTGGTGGTGGTGATGATGATGTATCCTCGCTCGCTGTTCTCATCAAACCATCATTTTTTCTGATTTTAAATAATAAGAGGTATTGTTTTTTATGTGCTTATTTGAAAAAAAGGTAGATTCTGGTTAGGTTAAGCTAGGATGCGTTAAGTTAGCTTTCCTATATCCATTTAAAGTCTAAACAGATTCAGCCTGTGTCTATTGTTGCGTTAGTAAAATAACCTATATTACATATTAAAGTATCTTATGAATGAAAATAAGAGAACAAACATTTTAAGCAAAAGATGAAACACAAATTTTAAATATATATCAAAATGTTCTCCTGGAACAGTTCCTAGGTGTTTCGTGTATCCATATGATGATGACTTAGACTTGTATCAACATCTGGGTATCTTAAAGATGTTCCACTTGTGTCTAATTGATCATCCTGTCGGTACTGAATACTACTGATATACATCCATATCCTCTTGTACTACCTACCACAGGATGGATATGGGGTGCACAATGTACTAACAGCTTCTGTCGCATCAATACATGAGTGGCACACATAAAAAACACAGTACATGATATATGCATCAAGCTGTGACTATCTCTCACCGGATATACAAAGAGAGTTTACTTTGATCTCCAAACTAGATTCGAGTGACGACGTACAGGTAAACATCAGGCTGAAGCACCCTTGTGCAGTTGACTGGCTTTAAACCAAACATGCAACTACTTAAGAGAGACAAAGTATTAAACGATATGTATTTCATCCAGGTGCAGCACAGGTGTGTCTACCTCAGTTCTGATGACCTCTGGAAGTCAAAATACCTTAGGCAGAAAAAAAGTGTCTCCTTGCCTGTGTTTTTGTCAGACTTCAGCCACGACCCGCGAGGTGTATCATGTGATTATCAGAAATACCAATTAAAACTTTCGTCTTTCAGAGGCCTGAGCAAGAGACTGCATATTAAACAGGGCCTGCCAGGGTGGTTGTGGTGGTGGTTAGGGTGATGGTGATTAGTAAGGTGATGGGGTGGTAGTTAGTGGTGGTGTTAGTGGAGTGGTGGTGGTGATTCTGGTGAAGGTGGTGGTGCTGATGGTGGTAGGGGTGGTGGTGATGGTTTTAGTGATGGTGGGGGTGGTGAGGGTGGTCGTGGTAATTGTAGCGTTGGTGATAGTGGTGGTGGTGGTGGTGGTGGTGGTAAAGGAAGTGGCTGGAGGTGATAATGTTGATAGATTAGCAGTGGTGGGAGTGTCAGAGGTGTTGTTGTTTTGGTTATTTTTGTCTTGTTGGCTAATCTCAGCATCAACTAAGAACTCTTTTTTTCCCCTTTCGGTGATCTCGTCAAAATCAATTTATTTTCCCTCTCCTATAAAGCTCGAGAATAAATTAGTTGCTGTTAATTCCTTCCTTCCCTCTCCTCTCCCCCTCAGTTTTATAAATCAAAAACCAAGTAATTTTATATATATTAATAGTTCTGTTTCATTAAAATTTTAATTTTATTATAATTTCCTATATAGTCATTAAATTCCATTTGAGCTGCACTCACCTATTTGTACTCACCTATTTGTGGTTGCAGGGGTCGAGTCACAGTTCCTGGCCCCGGCTCTTCGCTGGTCGGTACTAGCGTTGTGTGTTGCTGTGTCTGTTACTGTGTGTGTGCTCACAGTGTATGTGTTGGGACAAAATATACCTATATGGGATCAAAATCTGACAACCTCAATTCAAAGGCTCTGTATGATGCCTAAGGGTTTAGCGCTCACCAGGGAATATAATTATAGTATGCAATTAAGTGATTTAGCGAGTGTCCGAAAACAAGAAATGGATTCTAGTATTTAAGACAACGATTGATTCTTCGGTAAGGGATGGGAGCCTAGTTGTTGGTTAAGGGTTCATGCTCCAGGGTACTGGAGTTGGCTTTCCCTTTCAGACCATTCTCCAGGAGCTGTGTGATCTTTACCAGTCTAAAGCTTCGCAATGAATAATAATAATTGTAAAGAAATATTATTATGGTTATTATTACTGTTATTATTATTATTATTATTATTATTATTATTATTATTATTATTATTATTATTATTATTATTATTATTTATAGCATTTGGGGAAGGGTAAATTAAACGGAAAATTACAATCCGTTGCTGTTGGGTGTAACAATTTACGAAGCTTTAATCTTGTAAAACAGACCGTTAACAGAGACGCTACGTGAATAAATCCTTGTTTAAAGAGGAATTACTCTGTAAATTATTTTTATGAATGATATCCTTAATTAATTAATCTTGCTGGAGAAATCCTCCTAGCCACTAATACCCGAGCTGGGCGATTTATTCCCCTTTTCTCCACCAGATACACCTGAGGATTTAATAAGGTTAATGAGAGACCTTCATCATGCTAATGACGAATCCAAGTGCATTTTCCAGATTGAGCGAATGGGAGAAAGAGAGAGGAGCTGTGGGAGTGGAGATGAGAGGGAAGTCAAAAAATGGGTGATTTTAAGGAAATTCAAGAGAATTGTTAAGGTATTGGAGAGAGAGTTAAGAGGGGTAGTTGCAGGGACTTCAATGTTTTTCTGAAGGTTTGAGCACATGAGAGAGAGAGAGAAACAAGGACAGAGAGGAGAGAAACTTTACTTTAAAATGTCTTAGAACAATCACGAGGTAAATCTTGCAAGCACGGCAGCCAAGAAATTAACAGCACTCAGGCATATCTGTCATTTGAGCAGAGCCTCCAACATCGACGAGATGTGAATGGTCGTTATTATATGCATTATTAAAGCCAATGTTATCAATGTTATCAAAGTACTACACTTGGCTCCACTTCGAGGTAGGTGAGAAGACAGTTTCTTTACCACAAGACGAACAGCATCAAACTGTAACCTCACTCCGGCTGTATCTCTCTCATGAACATTATCCGCGATCATTCCTTCCTAGAATGACTAGCTGACCACTTGAACTTATAGCCCCTCGGAGTTAGGGAAGGTAGGTAACAGCTCTTACCTCGTAAAACAACATAGAGTACTTAACCTACCATTGTAAGACCACTGTGTAAGGGGCGAGAAAGACAGGGAGAGAGGGTGAGAGAGAGAGAGAGAGAGAGAGAGAGAGAGAGAGAGAGAGAGAGAGAGAGAGAGAGAGAGAGAGAGAGAGAGAGGGAGAGAGAGAGAGAGAGAGAGAGAGAGAGGGACTTTAACGGGGTTGTTGAGAGAGAAGTTAAGAGAGAAAATCAGAGGAATTCGAGCACATTCTGAAGGTTTGAGCGTGTGAAAGTGTTAAGGGAGCTGGCTGATAGCAACGAAACTCTAGCTTTTTCCAAAGTTTTAAACACATGCGATCCCTCCATTTACTAATTATTTTTATTTGTCAGGAGAAATGTGAAAATTTCTAAGCGAGTCTTAACTATACGATGACTCACAAAGTGGTGCTTTTGATCACTGGACATAGACCTTCAACAGGCTTACCAGTCCACCACGTTAAAAATATCCTTCCGTGCTGAACGGAGGTGATGTTAATGAGCAGATTATTAATATAGTATTCATGGGGAGGCACTAAAACCATCATTTACGTGTAAGAATGCGTAGATAAAAGTCGCTGACAAAATTTCACACATGGGAGGGTAGCTTCTGACAGCTTAAAGCTGGTTATTTACGAGTTGCTTGAAAAGATTAAGCATTCGTCTTTTGCTGGTGAGGAAGACTCGACTTAGTGCATCTGGCAGGTGATTCCCGTACCACCAGTGGTGATCTCTACGTTTCCTGGTGACGTCCAGTCACCGCTTTGCCAGAAGTATAGCGAGCGCTTTTATTATTTTGCTTATTTGTAGTTAACTTTGCGTTTTGTAGGTTTATATAACTTGACCCAATTGAACCTCACTTAACCCGACCTAAACTAATCTAACCTAATCCAGACAAAAAAAAAAATAACTTCAAAACAAAGAAACTAGTGTTAGTGAATTTCCAGTAATCGTTAAGAAAATGAAGCTGGGTACTTCGTCAGAAAATGAACGTAATAAAGTTGATTTTATTTCAGGCAGAAATGGAGTTATCGTTGTCAGTTAAACCACACGAGACAACACGCCTTTTATTAACGGCGGAATTCAAGTTGTTGGCGTGATTGACCTCTCGCCATCTTGTTGAAGACATGTGCATTTTTCTTTTCAGAGGATGGAGGAGGAGAAGGAACCTTCAATTTCTTATTACACTTCGGTGGAGTCCAACAGTGGTCTTGTGTCTCCCAGGAAGAACCAGGAACTCCTCAACTTGCCTCCTAAGGGACAGAAATGCTTGCAAGATTTTTGGGACAGCCTACCTCTTGATGGTAGGTACAGGGATTCAACAACGCATATATTATATATATATATATATATATATATATATATATATATATATATATATATATATATATATATATATATATATATATATATTTATGTATATATATATATATATATATATATATATATATATATATATATATATATATATATATATATATATATATATATATATATGTGTGTGTGTTAGTTACCATTTGGTCCTTAGACACTAGGCCTGTTGTATGTGCATGCGTGTGTGTGTGTGTGTGTGTGTGTGTGTGTGTGTGTATATATATGTGTATGTGTGTGTGTGTGCGTGTGTTTGTGCGTGTGTCTATGTGTGTGTGTGTGTGTGTGTGTGGATGGCACTGCTATGCAACCATTGTGATGCATCCCAGAAGGTTGAATTAGCATCTGAATACGTGTATGGAGGCCTCCTCACACACACGCCATTCCTGGCACCTTCCATTCACTCACTTTCCCTCACAAGCTCACTTGTTCCTGGTACCTCAATTTACTCACCATTCTTAATCTCAAACTCACTTGTCGTTCCTGGTATCTTCCTTTCACTCACCACCTTCCTCATACACATATATATATATATATATATATATATATATATATATATATATATATATATATATATATATATATATATATATATAAATTACTATTTACGACCCGTTATCACTGTTCGCCTCGCAGTTGAAGTTTGATGTAGCCGATGAGACCTTTATTCGTAAGACGTTTCACTTTCATGAGGGTTTATCATGTACTTATTTAACCCTCATGTGGGTGACACGGCATGCTAATATAGGTTTACTTTTTCTCGCTTCCTTCCAAAAGGGCCTGGACTAAAGATTTTTTTGTCTATATGTCTTCGTATCTTGTATGTTCTGGTCATATCTCCCCATCCTTGTTCCACCCGTCGGAAGATTGTGTCTTCAAAGAAATCAGTATCCCTAAGTATTTTGTATGTTGTATTCATATTGCCACCATGTCTTCCCCTTTCTTTAGAGTCTGCTATGAAGAGTTCTGGCTAGATCGCTAAGTATCTCGTATGTTATGGTCATATCTAGTCCATGTCCATCTCAAAGATCTGTCTTTAGCACATCTACATTTCAAAAAATCTGTGAACCCTCCGGGGATTTACATAACTTAAAAGTTTTTTTTTTTATCTCAAGAGCCTAGTTTTGTAAATAAGCTTTACAATTTCTGGAATTTTATCGAGTGGTTGAGAAAATGTAGTTATATATATTCACAAATGCATAAATCTAATTTTGTTTGCTTGGGTTTAATTCTAGCTCCTGGGTCATTCACTTTAAACTTCACTTTCACAGGTTTTGTAACGGCTCTCAAGACAATGGTTTCCTTTTTTCTTTAATCTTTCCTAGAACTTATTTTATAAGTCACAATGATAATAACAATAACAACATTAAAAATAACTAAAATAATAACAATAACTAAAATAATAACAATAACAGTGATAACAACAATAATAGTAATAGTATTACTATAATAATAATAATAAATTATTATTATTATTATTATTATTATTATTATTATTATTATTATTATTATTATTATTATTATTATTATTATTATTGTTATTATTTAGGATAAGTTTATGAAGATTTCTTTTTGTAAAAGAGTGAAAGGAGCGCCCACGTATCTATTGTACGCCCCAGACACCGTACATCACTCTGGCTTCCCACACTCCCTTATCAGCTAAAGTAAAGAGCCTGGTAATTAAGCGGATCACTTAACATATGAGCCAGAGGGAAGCTGATTCACTATACTCTGAAGGTCCTCTTGTTGGTAAAATTCCCTGTATTACTCATTCTGCCAATTCTTCACTTATCCTCTCTCCTTCCTCCTCGTTTTACCCCGTTCCTTCTTCTACACCTCCTTCGTGGCCTCCTACTTCCATACCTCCGAAACCCCTTATGAGCCTGATCTACGTCTACTACTGGGCCCCACCCACATGTGACCTCTCCCTCTACTGCAGCACTACTTATTACACTGGCTTCACTATTAAGACTGACCACTAATATAAAATGACTGCTTAAATAAATACTGATTCATCCAAGGGAAAATTTATTTCTCCTGGAATATATACCAGGTGTTATGGTAAAGGTGAAGCTTCATTATCAGGAAATAATTGCCAAAATTCTTTTAAAAAATCATTCAAAAGATTGTGCTATTGAGAAAAGTGAACCCACACTTGTGTCACTTGATATTCCTTGAGACGAGTGCTAACTAGCTCCTTGACTTACAGTTAAAGTTAAGGTTTCTGGGGTGAAAAATGAAACTTCTTTCCGTGCTTCCTAATTATATATTTTTTTTTTAGATGTATGATTCCGACAAAGGATCTCTCTCTCTCTCTCTCTCTCTCTCTCTCTCTCTCTCTCTCTCTCTCTCTCTCTCTCTCTCTCTCTCTCTCTCTCTCTCTCTCTCTCTCTTCCCTATACCTTCAATCTTACTCCATGCATTCCTCTACACAACACAGATCTAATTCAACCTTGCAAGATTAAGAGGCAATTGCATAGACTCGAACAAGAAGTATAAAAGGAAGAAGACAATGGACGTTATGGAGATAAATGATGCAACATAAAGGGGAAAAAAAATTTCTCCAACAAGAACAGAAAACCGTAACCCACACACAACATTCTGCTAAAGTCGACACAAAACAAACCTTCGAAAAAAAGCATGTAATTTTTTTTTCGTAGTCGTGATGCAAGTTTTACCTAATAAACTTAATGGAGGTCCTAACTCGACCCTCAGTGCCTGGTTAATGCTAGGTAAGAACTCTTAAGCGCCTGGATAATAACATCTGATAAATTAGACACGTGTACAACACTTGGGTATCCATTATAAAGATATTCAAGTGTTACAAATGTGTCTAAATTATCAACTTGCAGAATCTTTCAGCCATTTATCCACATAATTTTGTAATTCAGTAGAATCCAAAGAAAGACAAGGCGACCATAACTCCTTAGATCAAAAGCCTTTCATCAAGTGAAAGTAACCCCTCCCATATAGACAGGTTTTCCTCATTATAAAATTACTAATTATATTAGGGGCTAAATCCGTGTTGGGCATCCAGCAAAAAGAGTAATGGAGGTTCGATTCTCCGTACGTTAATCGCGGGCTCGGTCTCCGAACTCTCAGATTGTTGGTAATCGCTAATATATACAGTAAAATAACTCAAAAATACTTCATACCGTTCAGTAAACTTATTCCACTTACGGACATTTCAACTTTCTCACCGCCAACTAGATAATGGTCCAAGATGAACCGAAACAGCACGTTTTTAATTCACTTCTCTAATACTAGTAATGTTAAAAGTGCAAGTAGTATTAAAAGGGAGATGTAGCAACATTAACATCACGATCAAGCAACACAAAGGTAAACTTTACACCAAACAAAAGGTATTTCAGCAAAAGTTTGTTTTGTAAAGTGTTTCTTTTACTGATATCGAAATGTTGTTGGTACAAATAAAAAAAGCTTGTCTTGCCATGCCTCTTTTTTCTTCACTTTATTGAATATCTTCTGAATATTCCACTTTTTTCTAATAATTTTCATGTTGTTCAACAATGAAAAGAATTCAATTCAACAACTATATTAGTATATTCTCAACAGCTGAGTGAGTGTCAGAGAGAGAGAGAGAGAGAGAGAGACTTTAAATTTTCTAGCCTTAAAATACGTCATCCTGAAAAAAAGCAAAGGTATTCCTGTGTGTCACCCATCCAAGTACTAGCCATACCGAAAATGTGTTCATCAGGAATCCCGATTAACATCGACAGTATAAACAGCTCTAGAAACAAACAACAAAAATATTAAAATAATAATAATAATAATAATAATAATAATAATAATAATAATAATATTATTTTTATTTCTATATTATTATTTTTATTATTATTAGTAGTAGTAGTAGTAGTATTAGTATTATTGGTTTTATTGTGAAGAGCTAAGCCCCTAAAGGCCATTAGCGCCTGGGAAATGGGAGGCAATCATGTCTGATAGAAAAATGGGTGGACAGCTCTAATTCCTTTGAATATGAGCCCTTTACCAGCATCAAGAGCCACAACATCAAACATCAGAGGAAATGAGAAGAGTTTTACAATAAACATATCCTTCACTAATTTAACTCTATTATACATTCCAGGAAAAAAATATGCAGCTGCGTATATAAAGCGAATCGGATTGATTTTAGGCTTTTCTTTAAGTTTAAATCATCATCACAGAAGTTTATCTGACCGAGTGTTTATGTCACTGCATCTTTAACATCAACATTAGGCTTATGTTGTGATGAATGGTTTGAAAAACCGACAAGTTGAAGATTGAGACACTTATGCAACATATGGGAATCTTTATTCAGGAGTAAAGATTCCCATATGTTATATAAGTGTCTCAATCTTTAACTCATTAGGCTTATGTTAGGTAATTTCGACACATTATCAAATCAACGTTGGCTGATCTATTGTCAGCTCTATCAATTAGACATCTCACCGAAATACCTACCGTTAAGGATACTTTTATTACTAAATAGAGATTTATGTAAATTCTCTGTGTACACACAACGAAAAACACGAGTCTGGAACACTGTACATTTCACAGACAGAAAAATTCAGAGACTGGAATATTAAACTTACTTTAGTGAATAAGAGAGAGACTGAGAAAGAGAGAATGTGTGTGTGTGTATGTGTGTGTGTGTGTGTGTTAGTTAGTTACCATTTGGTCCTAGGTACATGTCGATTAGACACTAGGCCTGTTGTGTGTGTGTAGGTGTGTAGGTGTGTGTGTGTGTGTGTGTAGGTGTGTAGGTGTGTGTGTGTGTGTGTGTGTGTGTTGTGTGTTGTGTGTGTATGTGTGTGTGTGTGTGTGTGTGTGTGTGTGTTTGTGTGTGTGCGCATGTGTGTGTGTGTGTGTGTGTGTGTGTTAGTTACCATTTTGTCCTAGGCACATGTCGATTAGACACTAGGCCTGTTGTGTGTGT